AGTCACGTTGACTCGCGGCGTTGTAGTCCCAGGAACGGTGCTCGAAACGATTGAGGACTCTCAAACAATTGTCTTTCAATGGGGCACGTCCCGCAATGATTCTTCCGTAGGGGCCTACGAAGAGGACGCTTGGAGGGAGGGTGTATTGCAAAATCGTTGATACGACATGGGCTTGCACTGGTATTGTTCCTCCTCCTCCTCCTCCTCCTCCAACTTCTCTTCCTCCTCCTCCTCCTCCTCCTCCTTCTCCTCCTCCTCCCCCTCCTCCTCTTCTCTTTCCTCTTCCTCATCATCACCATCACCATCACCATCACCAGCATCATCATCATCGTCACCACCAACATCTTCATCATCATCATGCTTTTAATCATCCCTCCCGTGAGACCTCCAGAGGTCTTCGGAAGCCCAGAAAGAGCCCCAAAAATGTCACTAACTCTTATTCCCTCGAAACTCCTCGGTGGAGGGAAGAAACGGATGGAGGGGGAAGGGGAGGAAGAAGGGAGAGGAAGAAGGAGGGAGGGAGGGAGGGAGGGAGGGAGGGATGATGAGGAGGAGGAAAATGAGGAGGAGGAGGACGAGGGAGGAGTAGGGAGGGAGGGAGGGAGGATGATAAGGATGGGGGGAGGAAGGAGAGACCCAGACAAGAGAATGACGATGAGGGGGGGGGCCTCTCTGCTTGCGTTGGACGTCTCTGCTCGTGTCGGGGAGCCCCCGCTGGGATGGCGGCGTGGCCGCCCCGTGACCGGGCACCACCGCCCCCATCGGGCCTGCGGGCCACCGCCGCCGCGGAGCCGGAACGGGGCGCGCTGGCCCGCCGGCGGGGGCTCGGGCGGTTCTCGGGCGCAGCGGCCCTCCCAACATGACAGGGGGGGGGGGGAGGCGGAGGAGGCCGCGCACCGGGGCACGCCCCACGAAGAGGGCCCCCCGCCCTCCCAGGCCGCCCCTCCCGCCCTCCCAGGCGCTCCGCGGCGGCGTCCAGAGCGGGCTCCCAGCGGCGCCTCTCCCCGAGGAGCTCCCAGGCGGCCAGCTGCGGCTGCGCGAGGCGGTGTGGCGAACCCCGTCGGCGATCAGGGCGCCGAGGGTGGCGCCGCGCAGTCGAGCTGCTCGGGGCTGGGCTGGCTCTCGCGCAGGACGTCGACGGTTCCGCGTCCGCCGGTGGCGATGGCGGTCCTCGGGGTGGGCCTGGGCGCCTTTATCCGCTCCGCTGGGCGGTAGCTCCGGGAAGTGCGCAGCAGTGTCGTCGAACAGGTCCTCCGCCCGAGCGGCGTTGATCCCTGGGACGAAGGGAGCAAACGGACGGCCCAGCGTCCCCAAACGGCGCTTCATCTGCAGCAGGTCGCTGGCGGCGCTGCCCAAGCCGCGGCCGTCGTTCGCCATCCCCTCGCACATGGCGTTCGCCCGCGAAGGAACGACCAGGAGGGGGGAACCCGCGCCCATCGCTTCGCTGGCGGCGCTCGGAATGGCGACGGGGCTGGCCTCCTCCGGGGCCTGCACGATCCAGCCGCACGCGGGGGAGCTCCCAGCGAACCCGCCCCGGCCTCGTCCGGCTGGCGAGGGCGGAACAGGCTGGGTCACCCCCCGGCGTTCGTGCCAGCGCTCCTCCTCCTCCTCCTCCTCCTCCTCCTCCTCCTCCTCCTCCTCCTCCTCCTGCTCCTCCTCCTGCTCCTCCTCTTCCTCCTCCTACTGCTCCTCCCTCTTTCTCCTCCTCCGCCTCCTCTCACCTCCCCCCACCCTCCCCCCCCCCGCCCCCCCCTCCTCCTCTCCCTACTCCTCCTCCCCTCCTTTCCCCCCCCCCCCCCCCCCGCCCTCCCCCCTCACCCTACCCCCCTCCCCTCCTCCCCTCCCTTCCCTTCCTCCCTCCTCCTCCTCTCCTCCGCCTCTCCTCCTCCTTCCCCTCTCCTACCTCCTCCTCCTCCTCCTCCTCCTCCTCACCTCCTCCTCCTCCTCCTGCCTACCTCCTCTCCTCCTCCTCTCATTCTCCTCCTCCTCCTCCTCCTCCTCCTCCTCATCTCCTACTCTTCCTCCTCCCCCTCCACCTACTCCTCCCCTCCTCCTCCTCCTCCTCTCCTCTCCTCCTTCTCCTCCCCTCCTCTCCTCCTTCCCTCCTCCTCTCCTCCTCATCCTCCTCCGCCTCCTCTCTCCATCTCATCCTCCTCTCCTCTCTCTCCTCCTCCTCCTCCTCCTCCTCCTCCTCCTCCTCCTCCTCCTCCTCCTCCTCCCCCTCCTCCTCCGGTGCGGTGCAGGCCCCGGGTCTGCTGCCGCGGGGCGCAGCTCGCTGCGGCGCCTCCGCCGCCGTCTGCTTGCGCGCCGGGCGCCCCCCTCGCGGCGAGCGGCGCGTCGGCCCCCCGACGGCCTGGGCGCCGAAGCCAGCGGGGGGCGTCGCTGGGGGGGGGGGCAGCGGAGGCTGTCCGAGGGCGGCTGCAGCGTGGCCCTCGCAGTAGCGACGCTGCGCGGGCCGCCCAGTCGCCACGGGCGGTGGCAGCCGATGCGAGCACATCGCCGATCCGGGCGCGGAACGTGGTAGCTGCAAGCGTGGGAAGCTTGACCTCGGGGGCGCCCACTGGGACGTAGAGGCTGGATGCGTCTGCGCCCTCCAGGAGGATCGGGCAAGCGCCAGGGGGCGCCCGATCGCGGCGGTGGTAGCTCGCGAGCTGCAGTACCCTGTCACCCAGAGCATGTAGGACTTGGTCGGCGCAGTACTGATGCTCATCAGGTTCGGACTCGGTCTATGAAGCTCGCTGCAGTCCTTCAGCGGTGATGGGGGGCCTCGCCGACGGCTGCAGAAACGCCCCAAACAGCACCACGGCCCGCGGCGGCCCATGCATTCGCAGCAACGGGCGAGCCCTCGGCATCCACAGGCCCCCAGCACGCGACCCGCGGCCCCGCGCAACTTGCACGCGGCCCACCCAAGTCGCTGGCAGCCGCTGGGGCTGAGATCTGCCAGGTCACGCAACTCCGCCGAGTCGTCCGCCTTGACACAGCTGCAGTCGCGCGTGGGACGTATCCACCCAGGTCGGGGCGGGAATCTCCCTGGCGTGGATGGATCTTCTTGGCGGGCGCGCTCTCGGGGTATCTCCGAAGTCGACATGAGGAAGCCCCGCCGACGCTGTCGCAGTCCTGACTTAGCCCCGCCACCTTGGGGGGGCGCACGCGAGCTGCGGCTGACCCGCGCGGCTTGACCCTTGGCAGTGTCGCGGGGGCCCACCCGCTCCGCGAACTCGGATCTCGAAGAGGTCGGCGCTGTCGACCCCGGCCAAAAATCTCTACTAAGGTACGGGGCGGACCTGGAGGGTGTCCCAGCCCGCACCAGCGCCTGCAGCAGCGCAGAATGGCCCCCTGGTCGCGTCCGACGATCACGTCAATGGCGGTCGCGGCCTCCCAGCGGCCTCGTCCGCCCAAGAAGGGCCCGATGCAAGCGAAACCTGCAAGTATAGGACCTAGTGCCAATAGTCGCCGAACATGGCGACGTCTGCGTGATCGAAGGCCACGCCCAGAACAGCCGAACGTGGAGCTGTGGTTCCCGCAGCAGCTTGCCACCGTCTGGCAAAGGCCCCCAGGTGCCACGAGCCCAGGAGGGTAATGCAGTCCGGGGGCCCCCGGCTGGGCAGATTGGCTGGCGAGGGCGGGCCGACTGGCGGTGGGGGCTCCATCTCATCGTGGTCGAAACAAAGCTCGTCCTGGTCGCCGTTCGGGGACGTCGGGAGCCGGCAACCGCCCTGCGGAACCCCGCAGGGGACCCCTTCCTTCCCCAGAGGAACAAAAGAGTGGCATGAACATAAACGTTGGGAGGTCCGCGCGGACTTCTTGGCGCGGGGAGCGCGCCAGGGGCGGCGCCAGAGGCGCCGCCAGGGTGCTCCAGCGTCAAGTCGAGAAGTCCGCGCGGACCGCCGAAAGTTCACCGAACTTTCGGAGAGAGAGGGGCTGGAGGCGCGCTCGAGCCAAACAAGTCTTGAGTGCACCGATTTTCTCGCTATCCCTCTTCCCAACACCTTGTAATTGTTCTAAGTTACCGCACCAGATGACCAAGAGGCGACCGCTTATCCCGCCTGGAGGCGACTCGGGCCATTTTGCACTGTATTTGAACCCTATTGCGCCGCTGTGGAGCGCCCGGGCCATTATTGTTTGGCTCCTGGGGCATGCCAGAGTGCGGAAACTCTCGATCAAGACACAGGCCCTTCTGGGACGCTGGAGGCGCTGCATTGTAGGAGAGATGACGTCGGGCTCCAGCTTCGCCTCCCACATTTCGCTGAGCAGCGCCAAAGCCTTCTGTCACTGCTCGCCCTGCTCGCACGCGCTGATCCCAGCGTTGCAGCTGATGACGTTGGGCTCCAGCTTCGCCTTCCATATCTCGCTGATCAGTTCAAGAGCTCGCTGCCACTGTTCGCCCTTCTCGCAGTATCAAATGAAATTGGGCTCCAGCTTCGGCTCCCGCATCTCGCTGAGCGGCGCCAGCGCCCGCTGCCACTGCTTGCCCTTCTCACACACGCTGATCCCAGCGCTGCAGCTGATGACGTCGGGCTCAAGCTTCGACTCCCACATCGCACTGGGCACCGATAGTGCGGGTTGCAATCGCCCGCCTTTCTGCACGCGCTGGCAATCGTCATGTAGTGGCCTGGGAAAGGTTGCATACCTCATTGAATTACTTCGCGGAGCAACTCCTGTGCTGTGCTTGTTTTGTCCGAACACACTTCTTGATTGACATTTCGAAAGAAACTATCCCTTCCCCATACCCTCGACCGACGACAAGCATCCAAAAGCCGATGGCAATGCCGCAGCTTGACCCCAACATGGCTTGGACCGAAGCGGCCTTCAGTCAAAATGGCTACGGATGAGGGGATGAGTATGAGGAGAAGGAGGAGGGGGAGGAGGAGGAGGAGGAGGAGGAGGAGGAGGAGGAGGAGGAGGAAGAGGAGGAGGAGGAGGGGGAGGAGGAGGAGGAGGAGGAGGAGGAGGAGGAGGAGAGAGTAAAGAAGAAGAGGAAAAGGAGGAGGAGGAGGAGGGAGGAGGAGGAAGCAGGGAGGGAGGGGGGGGCCTCGGTCGCGTCCAAGCCGACGCCCAGGGTGTCGTAGGCATCGATGCTCATGGCGGGGAGAGCCAGGGCCCCCTGCCCTGGAGGGGCCCAGGGCTCGCGAGCCCAGAGGAAGGGCAGGGGGGAGGACGAAGGGCAGGAGGGAAACGGGGGCGAGGACGGGAGACGAGGGCAGGATGAGGAGGCGGAGGAGGAGGAGGAGGAGGAGGAGGAGAATCAAAGACGCACTGCAAACGGAACAAGAGAATGCTGCGCGACCAGCGCTCTCGACAGAGTGCCCCGGGTCCTGGAAGCGTTTCAAAGCATGGGCTCGCGGCTCACATGGGTCGCCGATTTCAAATCCAAGAAAGTCGCCAGCAAAAGCCAAGCATTCTGGACAGCCTCACTGGCCGTCGGGGCACCGCGGTGCCCATGGGCCAGACAAAGCTCAGAGGCCTGCTAAAATTGGGCCGACGTTGACCCGCGCATCTTCCTGCTTCCAGAACGGAGCTGGAGGAGGGAGGTGCGAGTGCGAGCGAGCAGGCTGCATGTTCGGCACCTCCACCCGCCCCTCGCAGGGAAGAGGCACAAGTCGCGCTGAGAAAGAGTGGCCTTCGGTGCCAGCTCCCCGCGGTCCTGCACAGCGCAGGTGGCTAGGCCTCCTGTCAACGCTGCAACAGACTGGGCAAACCTACTGAGAAACCAAAATCACGCTAGATGTCAGCACGGTGGTTATGGACCTCGCCGATCGTCTTTGCCACGGATTGGGTCTCTGCACCCGCGCGCGCCAAAAAAATCCCAGAACATCCTGGGTTTCCTGGGCTGGGGTGAACATCTCCACGTCCTGCCAATCCATATGTGCTTTGACCCAGACGAAGGAAGGCCTCATATCACAGCGTTGGTATCGCAAGAACTGCCCGCCAGAAACCGGCAAGCCATGAGTCCGAGCAGAAAGCCCCGGGACTGGCCCTCCGCCACAGCGATTACGTGGTCTGAGACAAGCACTGCGTCGCGGGGACTGCGCCGAAGCGCCTACAGAATGGCACATGCTTCTGCCGTCGGCACCGCCTGGCACCGGCCAGGGAAGGGCCGAACACCGCATGGCGAGGAAGCCCATCAAGGCCGAGGTCCACCGCATCGCACCCGCATCGTCCAAATTCAAAGCTGGTGCTCTCCGACCCTAAGCCGTCGGCGGAGGCGGCTGCTCCGAGGCGCTCCGACCACTCCCCAGGAATGGAAGGGGAGGCCAGGAGGAGCGGCAGGGAGCACAAGCCTGGGACAAAGAAAGCCATGCGCAAGCCCGAGCGAGCCCCAGCTCGGGCCACCCAGCCCGCTCTCCCTCTGCTTCCGACGCAACCTTCCGCGACGTCACCAGGACACACGGAACCGACACTCGCAGGGCAATCGAGCACCCCCTCAAAATCGTAAAACTGGTGGCCGAGGGCCCACGTGACAACACTGACAGAAGTCCGACTGGCAAAAAAGCCGCGGCTCTACGAAGACCTGGCGCCCATATGGCCGATCCCACTAAACACCTGGCCGCCCCGTGTCTCTCGGGGCCCGGCGTCTTCATGATACTCCAGATTTTGTAATAAAGGGAGGGGGGTCTCATTTCGGGAGGGGGTCTCTTCCAGGCTATCTTGGAGGGCCTGGGGGGGTCTGGGGACGATGTTTTGGAGGGTTCTCCCACGGGGGAGGTCTGAAATGGCTTGTCTTGGAGGGTCCAGACCCCCTCCCTTTTATTACGAAATCTGGAGTACCATGGCGGAGACCTCCCATCGAAATAACAGATAGCGCCACAAGGTGCCGACCTCTACCATGGGCCCCACTGCCTAGGACGAGCCAACTTGCGCTTCGGGCTTTCGCGCCCACAAGCAATCTGCGCTCCGGCACGCGCTCCGGGTGGCCCGAGAAAAAGACCGCGCCCAAGGCCCCTCTCGCGTCGAAACCCTGGGATACGAAAAATATCGGCTGACCTTCCCACTGCAGCAGCAGCGCGCGCCGCTGAGGCAACAAATCCGCTCTTAACCACTTGCAAAATCAGACCTAGGCGAACCGCCTTGCGGCTGAACCAAGGCACCGAGGCCAAAGGAGGCCCGGCATTTCTCGAGTCCTGACCCGTCTAATGGAAGCTGATATCATAGATCAAAGTCCTAGGGGCGGCCGTCTGCAAGAGGCCAATGGCACGGGCCAACACGCGGTGGAGAAACAAATGCGCCATAGCGCTCGCGGCCCGCAACCAGCCAGGACCCCTGTCCGAGACAACTCCTGCACTGAGTGACCCGAACGCCTAGATTAACCTGGGACGCCCATAACATGAGAAAATCACTCACATCATCCTAAGAAGTAACCTGAGCGCACGGGCTTGCGAGGAGGCGATCGACAGCAATGCGCTCGTGGCATGTTTCACAAATCGATCAGGACACAGACGCTCTGCCCCCCCACCGCCGCGACCACCTCCGCCCCCGCGTCGCGAACGAAAGCGGCCTCCGAAGAGCGTCGGGAAGGTCCTGGGAACAGAAGGGCTGGTGGCGATAGTTAGCCTCCGACACGCGAAAGACGGGCCCCCTCAGTCGGCCCCATACGCGGAGCAGAATGTCGAGCAAGGCGGCGAGCCGACGCCCCCCAGGCGGTCTGCCACGTCTCGCAGGGCGGGCCCGGCCAACACAGGAGCATCTCGCAAGCGCGGAGCAGCAGGGCCAGGGCCTCCAACCTGATGTCCGATATGCGGCCCAGAGCTCTCGGGCGCAACCGGACGTGCTCCACGGCCGACTTCCTCGCAACTCCCCCATGCTGTTCTCACATCCTGCACGCCAGCGTCAGGGAGCTCGGCCGACGACTTGGCACCACTTGGCAGCTGCGCATCAGCACATCCACGGACGTCCCCAATCGTTTGCCGATCATCCATATACTAATCAGCGCTCTCGAAGGGCTGCGAACGGCCTCCTGCGCACTGGTCTGCCACTTCTTGCAACTCACGCATGCGAAGAAACTGGCGTGCCTTATCAGCACCACAGGCGAACGCCGAGCGGGCCCAGCTTGCCCATCCTGCTGACGACTCCCCAAGGACCTTGCTTATATCAATTTCTGGGAGGTCAAAAAAGCGCTGCAATACGACATCAAGGCCTTGACGGCATAAACCACCCACTGGGTCGCCGAGTTGAACAAGCACGCTGCGAAAATGCCCAAGCCACTTGCTGAAAGACCCCCAGGCCGACACAGCTGGCGGAGCATTGGGTTTGGCTCGGTTCAGAAGCTGCCACGCGTAGTCCGCGCGGCCCGCGTGCCCACGGTGAAGGCGACGAACTTTCGCATCTACAGCGCCATGCCTGTCGAGCAGCTCTGCCTCGATCCCAGAACCTCGCCCCAGCACTGAGCCAAGACGGCCACGGACGCAGCACGTCAAAAGCGGCCTTGGAACTGCCGCGCATCAGAAACCGGCGGGAAGGGCGCATAGCCAGTGGGCGGCACCGTCGGAAGAACCATGGGCCCCACGGACACCGCAGCACATGTCGCGCGGCCTCCCCACACTGACCGCGCACGGAAATTCCGCGAAAATCCTCGTCAGCATGGCTCTTCATCATGAGCATCACCATCAGCATCATCAGCTCCAGGATGCGGGACCGTCACGCGTGAGCGGGTCGACGTAGATACCCCCCCCCGTCAGGCGCACGGGGCCCCGTGGATTGTCACGCTGCGCGCCATTGGCTTGGGCGGGCCCAATGGCAAGGGGCGGGGGGCCATGTTCCGCTCGCATTAATATACGTAACCGCCAAGCGGTGTAGAAGCCGGAAAATGCCACCGGAATATATGAATCGGATCTTCCGGCGAACTGGAAAAATCCGGCTCGAACCGGAAATGCCCTAACGAATGCGTCGAACGCATGATTTTTTCACGCGGAATGGGCCGTTCCAGTGAACCGGAACACCTTCATGCCCAGCTGGTGGAAAGGCCAGAGAACGCCACCGGAGTATGTTAATTCACGCACGGGGGGCACTGCGGCCTCTTCGGGCGCACCGGAAAAAAACAAGCCCGCGCCAGAAAATCGTCGCCAGGCGCGCGCAATCCCTGTCTTCTCACGGGGACGGCCCCGCTCTGGTGCATCGGAAGATAGGGCGGGGACATTCCTGGATGCGACGTCGGATACCCTGCGGACGATCGGTCGACTAGGAGGCTGGGACATGGGACACACGACACCGAGCCCTCTTCGGGGGTGCATTTGCGATCGCGGCTCCGACGCCGGCACATCGCAAGACACGTCGCCGTCGACGCAGCGGGGCTCGATGACCAGATTCGCGAAAACTTTCGCAGGCGCCACATGGCCGCAGAGACTGGCCGGCGAGAAAGCGCGCCCACTGCATTGCCCACCTCTGGGACCACTATGCGCGACGACAGACCGTCCGAAGCCTGGAACCACAATCTCTCCAAGCAACTGGCGCAAACTGGACGCACTTGGACTCGACCGAACAACAGTGGCGCACACCTCTACGGTCGACGAACCAGTCGTCGATGTCTCTGTCATGGTCCACATGTCGGTCAGCTCCAATCACCCGCGGCGGGCCCATGAGATTGAGCTTCGCGACGCGCGACTTCAATGCACCAAATACGCGGAAAATGCATCCCCCAAGAGACAACAGCGCGCACCTTTGCCGCCACCATACGGCCCAAATGCAACACTGGATCAGGGGTCGCAGGGGGCTTGAGAATGAACACGCGCTCGTGCGCGAGGACGGCTACGCCCCCATGGCGCCCCGCCTCGCCCTGTCGGGACAGACGGCGCCCAAGTCCCAACCAGTCCTTCACACTGACACCTGTGCTGGACATCAGGGAGCGTCTCCGTCTAGCCGCGGTGCTCCGGCGCCCCCACGACTGAAGTCTGAGACTCCCAGAAGCTTGACCAAGGGCCCACGATGCGACAATTATGCAATGACGACGTTGGTGGCCAGGGGCCTGGGCTTCCTGGTATTCATCTTGACCGCGGGGCAACTGGCCGCGGGCGATGACACATCATGCTCATCAGCCAGCCTGCTCGCTCCACTGCAAAACCTGCAAGCAGGTAACAGAAGCAGCTCAAG